AACCGCTATATTACAGACCTGGCCCTTTTTCAAAAAAATTATTTGGTGATGTCCAGCACTGCATGTAACAGTAGTATTATGGTTTGTGTTCTAAAACATTCTTTGTCTCTTCTTACTTCAAAACTTTCCAAAATGAAACTGGTTCTATCACTGGTGTTCTAGAACCTACCCTCTTTGAAAGTCTTTATCAGGAGGATATGATCTGAGAATGGTCCAAGGTAGATTTTCCTGATCATTTATTTCTTCTTTAAAACTTGCTTTCTATTCATTTCAAAAGGCTTTTGCAGAAGGGCATTTTCTGTGAAAGTTTGGAACCAGATGCTAGAGAATGCTGACTTGCCCTGGAATAAGGGGCTAAAGAGTCTAAAGGCATTGCGATGACTTTGACCAGGCAGAAAACCCCAAAGGCACAGGAGGAGCCCATGAGGCTGAGTGACTAGGAAGGGGCAAGTGAGGAGAGTTCTTCCCTGTAGGATCAAAAATACTCTGCAAAACAGCAAAGGCCAGTGGATTACCTAGTTGTTCCAGGTAGAGTGAACACAAGCTCCTTTTCCTTTTTCTCCAGCAAATCCTCAGGAAGTGTTGCATAACTCACTAATGCTTTTTGCTGTTGAATTTTATGATGGGTGGGAGAGAATATGCAAAGGTACATTGAGGATTAGCTTTCTGTATCCACACTGGCCCCTGCAGAGAGGGACACAGGGGTCTGGGGGCAGAGTGGGCAAGAGATAGTCAGTCCCTGCGAATTTGTAGGAATCTGGAGGATGTTTTCCTGGGTCATGGCATTGGGGGATTGTGGAAATGCTATCTAAACTTGAGCTGCTAGGCTAATCGAAGGCTTCACCACAACCTGGACTTTCCTGGGTTAGCTGCTGAGGTATCTGAATTGTTCCTGAGGCCCCAGGTGAAAAAGGGTTTTCTTTTTTGGAAAGTGCCATATTTTACTTGGGAGAGAGTCCCCTATTCCTGTTCCATTAGTGCACGTTTCAGCCCTTCACTACATCAGAGGAGCAATGGGACATACTGCTCTCTGTCTCTCACGTGCATATGCGTTCTGTCACACACACACACACAAGTCATTCCCTCTGAAAGACTTTCCCTCACACCTAGTATAGGTTAAGGGCTTCATCACACAAACTTGTACTCAACTGCAATCTTCCAACCTGTGTTATTTCTCACACGCCACTGTAATTATTGTCCAGTTGGTCATTATCCAATACTGCAGTCCAGTGCCTTAACCACCACACTATCTGCTGTCCCCACGATTATTATTATTATTATTTTAGATTCCACATTTGAGTGAGATCCTACAATATTTGTCTTCCTCGACCTAGTGAATTTCACTTAGTACAATGTCCATTTATGCTGTCACAAATGAGAAAAATTTCTTTTGAAAAGCTGTGTAGGAGTCCTTTCTGTATACCTACCACATTTTCTTTATCCATTTACCCATTGATGGACACTCATGTTCTTCCATGTCTTGGCTATTGTGGCTAATATTGAAATAAACATGGAAGTGCAAATATTTCTTCAACATAACAATTTTAATTCCTTTGAATATAAACCCAGAATTGAGGTTATTGGATTATATAGCAATTTTATTTTCAGTTTTTTGTTTTTTGGCTTTCCAAAGTGACTGTACTGATTTACATTTCCACCAGCATAAGATACTATTGATTTTTAAGAGCAGTATCATTTTAATAATGATATTACAGGAACAGAATACATTATCCCTTTGACCTGTACACAATGATATTATGACTTATCTTGATTTAAGATGCCTTAAATTATGGGTAAAAATATTCTTAGAAGAGATAACACATGGCATTCATAGAGTTTTAAAACTTTTAAATTTTATTCATAATACTAAGCAATCGTGTGTATTCAGGAGAATGAGAAAGACGGGGGGGGGGGGGAAGCACCTTCAGCAGGGTCTCATCACACCACCACAGCCATCTTGCCCCAGTCCTCCAGCTAGTCAAGATCTTGGGCATGCGGGAACCAGCAGTTAGCGTAATGGCTATGTCACTGGACTCCCACGTAGTCAACCGCGGTTTGCGTCCTGGACCCGGTGGCTTAAAACTCACGCCGGGCGCGTGTACGTGTGTGCCCAAGATCCCGAGAGGATAATGGAGGAGAAGGGATTGCGGCGTGGCCATCCCCCCTGGGGGGTGATTTCTCGCTTTCTGTCTCTATGTCTCTCTCTGTCTGTCTGGCGAGCGCACGCGCCCTATAGCAAAAATCTCTCCAAAAAAAAAAAAAAAAGATCTTGGGCATGCATACATGCACCCCGTATGTTTTCAGATCTCCCAGGTAGCCAAGCCCTTGGCTGGCCTTGTGGCTTCCAGCACTGCAGTTAAGTATGCTGCTGACTGTGCTGCCAGGCTGGGAGTCATGTAGTAAATTTACCTCTTCTTAGTCAAATATCCTCATTCTCACAAAATTGCAGGCATAATGGCTCATGCATGACAAGATATAAAATTTTAGCCCAGTGACGTTTTAAAAATCTTTTTCGTTTTTATCAGAGAGAGAAAGAGAGAGACAGACAGTGAGAAAGCACCACCTATAGGGGATGGTCACATTGCAATCCCTTCTCGTCCATCTCTTCTTCTTTTCAGGATTTTGGGCATGCATGCGCATGCACCTGAAGTTTTCTCAAGTCACTGGGTCCAGGACTAGAACCACGTACTCAGCCATTGTGATTCATCCACTTTAACCATCACGCCACTGGGTGGTGCCCAGTATCCTTTGACAATCCATAGTATTGCACTTTGAAAGAGTTCAGGTCAACAAAGAAAATTTCATTGAGCCACAGAAAAGGAAAGCCCTCATCTGGGCACAACCTGACTTTCCTGGGGCGTGAGTGCTCTCTTTTCATCCTGAGTCAGATTTAAGAGGTTTGCTGAGCATCAGTGTCTGGACATGCCAAGTTCTTAGAACCCCTAGGAACACAAGAAGTAGACTTTTCCTCAGGAAAATCCATTTCACTGGACAGTAAATGCCTTCAACTGCCTTGGAATCTCAAAAACAGAAAGTAGCGTGAGCACAGACGAGCACGTGTGAAACTGGAATGACAGCTGCTAGCAGGTGCCAAGGGTTGCCTTATACTCTCCTCGGCTCCTAGGGGTGCATGAGAGACCAGAGGGGGACAGTTACTTGTACAAAGCTGCCCAACAGGGAGTGGAGTGGAGCTGTAACTGCTCACAGGATTCTCAGCCATGCAGGTGTATGTCCGATCCAGGTCATGAAGGCTCCAGGCATCACTGAGGACAGACCCTTCCTGGGACACGACAGCCCGTGGTCCCATTGGCGTCCACTGATATGTGACGTGGTCTGCTCCCTCCACAGAACACCTCAGGGTGGCGTTGCAGAACCCGCTCTCAGAGATGACGGAATCCACTCTAACCTGAGGACTTCTCAGCTGCCCTGTTGGAGCAATTGTTTCAAAAGATACAAATAGTAATAAAAGACCTTTCTAGGCTGTCAAAGGAAGAGAGGAGAGGACTCTGAGAAATCCAAACCCCTTTAGATGGCTCTTCTATTTCCTACCCCTGAGGGGCTGAGTGGAGAAAAAGACAGGTTGTGGGATGCTTTTCACCCAGAACGACAGCCCCTAGCCAGAATCTGCTGTGACTGAGGACAAAAAAAGAAAAAGAAAATAAAAGCTGAAGATCTACCCAGGAAAGTTCTGGTTAAAACAGTGAAACTGGAGGACGAGGTTTTTCAAGGATCTAGCCCCCGGAATCACGAGTGGTCCCACCACCTTACCATAGGGACCTGGCTCTCTTTGCCCTTACCCACTGGAGATCCTCAGAGTATAATGGGAAAGCCACGTGGAGCTTTCTGTGCTCATCTGGGTGCTGTAAGGCCCTGCGTCTGCCATCGCCAGCTTGTGGAGCTGCACGGAGTCAGGATGAATGACGTTCACTCGCCTTCTCCGTTTTGGGTCAGACACATGTGGACTTCCTGCTTCATTTAGATACGAAGGCAATAGATTTTCGACTGTAAAACACAGTGATGGCCATGTTGGCCGTGAACTTCTCTCCTGTGGGAAACTCCAGGGGAAGAACTACCAACTTCCTCAGAACCACATTTACCAGCACTGGGGTTGAGTTGCTTTGTGAAACTATATTCCCTGTAAACACACAAGAGAAAAACTATAAAACTGTCCCTGCTGCCTCCCTCCTCAGTGTCCCCATAAGTCACAGCTCAACACCAACAGGTGAAGAACGCTGAACACCAACAGGTGCGGGAGGTGGGGCAGTGCCAGAGTCTACAGTGGGCAATTCTTCTACTCACTTTCAGCTGGAATTTTGAGTATCCCTCCAGGATCCATCCTGCAGGTGTCACTCTTTC